TTTTTTTACATGTCCCACTACAAACATTGTCTAGATTGGGGCCCTGGGCCCCCTTTTTTAAAATTCCTGGAACCAGATCTGATACTAGTTTACATTCATGATTCATTACAGAAGAACTTTTTAGTGTCATATACATGTAAGTGAGTAAGTGACTTAGTCTTTTTCAAAAATAATTAATTTTTGTACTTAAAAATTTATTCAGAGTTTTGAGAATTAGTACATACTTTGTGTGTATCATAAATAGAGGTTTTTTTTTTTTGTTGCTGTTTTCCTATTTTCAAGTCACGTTCTTTGTGAGTCTCCTTGAAAGCCTTTGACACACATGATTATAAAATTTATCAAATAAAATTTATCAATACTGTTTTCTTTTCTATGAGCTGATGTGTGTAAATGTTTAATACAAATTTATCGAGCTAGTGTCTCTACATGATGTATTATATCTTTTATATAAGTTGAAATGGTTTTTACCTGAATATTTTAATCCTGGCAGATATTAAATTGTAATATAAAATGCATCACCATGCAAGGATATAGAAGTTTGTGACGAAATTTATGATTTTGTTATCAATGGCATGAATGAGTCTTTTCAAGGGAAATTGATTTTCCTCAATTCTAACAATGTCATACGTGTAATATAAAAATGCAGTAAAAAAGTTGTATGTCTAATAGGAAAATTAATTTCTAAAAAGGAAATAATTACTATTGAATTTTCCATTTACCACTGTAACACCATGTAGTTTTCACAACATCATAAACATTGTTAATAGTAAATAACCTTAAGAAAATTAATGAAGGTGTTCACAGAGTATAATTTAGAATTTTCAAATTGGAATTAGAAATTGATTTGGGGTATTTAAATGTCCTTGACTAAAAATTGTGCATTGAAAGTGATTATCATGACCATCTCTAGTCAACAAACATGACAAAATGATGCACAAAAATATTTTTTTCTTTTAAAGATGTGCAAAATACAAATCTAAGCCAGAAGTTTTCTCTGTTTGGTTGGCATCTACATGCATGGACATTTTTTAATTGATATTTAAGGCTCAAACTCCTAGCTCCTATAAACATGTTAATAAAATTATTGGACTGCTCCAGAACAATACTGCAATAGGTAGGAATCTTGAGAAAAGAAATCTTACACTATAAATTGAGTCAAAAGATATCTAATTGTTTTTTCTGTCTTTTTCTTACATTTGTGTAGTAACTTAAGCAGGTACATTTTTTGTTTTGTAGAAATTAACTCACCTAATACCCAATAAACATTTATTACAAAGTAATGTACTTTTTGTTAAGCCTTTTTGTCCCTGTTGCTATTAAAAACACATTTACATATTGAAAATAATGATGGAACACCAAATGATTGTGTTTTTTGTAGAGACTTTGTGAACTTAATAAAATTGGTTTAGGAACGTAATATTATTTTGTGTCGATCATACTGAATAAAACAGTTATCTTATTAGTCAAATTTAGTCTATTTCCTCGTATTAATGTGTACTATTTTTTTATTTGAAAAAACAAATTAACCTACTACTCTAGTTCCTTTGTTGTTAACAAAATGAACAGTCTGAGTGGTTATCCTAAAATTGATTTCATTTGTAAGATCCAGAATGTTTTTTAACATGATATAAATCATTTTTGAAGACCACATCAGATATTGAAAGATTTGCTATTTACACAAGTTTCTGTTGTGCTCTTTTGAACAGATCTTTATAACATGTTATAATGTAAGTTCTAAATAAATATTTGTTTTTTTGTGTGTATAATAAAAACAGTCTTGAACAATGCACTTTTGTCATGTTCTGAGCACTCTTTACTGATATAGTTCTTTGGCCCTGAATTTCGACAGTCATTTTATAACTGCAGTATATTTTGCAGTATTCTTTTCAAATTATATCATGAAGGGACATAATTTGTTAATCTTGCCCCCTGCAGATTGTATTTAAGTAGTGAATGAATGGCATTCTTTTACCAACCCATTTTATGTATTTTTGATGTGTACATTTTGTATTTTACTACTTAATGATCATTTAAATACAAAGTAATTTAGGACAGGTGAAACTTACATCAGAATAGGCAACTGAGAGGTATTATTGTCATGACATACTGTATAATAGAGAAATAATTTTTAAAAAAAATAACAAAAATACCGAACTCCAAGGAAGATTCAAAACGGGAAGTCCTTTAATTTATCAAATGGCAAAATCAAAAACCTCAAACACATCAAACGAATGGAAAACAACTGCCATATTCCAGACTTGGTACATTAAACCTGGTTTTATAGCTACAATGTAGCTACATGTAGAGAGAGGGCATATATTTGATTTTTTTTTTATCTACATGTATTCTACATGTTCTAGGACTAATATTTTACTAATGTAATATAGGTAAATGTGTTTAAAGTTTTTATTCACAAATACAGTGCATATTTTCCTTTATCATGTTTATTATATCATATATTTGGTTTTTTATACGCCAATTTACGGGACGTATTATGGCATACTGTTGTCTGTTTGTCCGTCCGTCCGTCCGTCGTCAACATGTCGGACATTAACTCAAAAACGCTTTAACCAATTTGCATGAAACTTCGGTGAATTGTTAAAATATCTATTGACATGATCAGCTCCCCTTCCTTTTTTATTAATTTTAGATTTTATGTTTCTGAGTTTTGGGGTTTTATTCATTAAAAAAAGGGGAATTTTCCAGTTTTCGGACAATAATTTCTCACAAACTCTTTCAGCAATTTGCAAGAAACTTTGGTGAATTGTTTATATATATATATATATATATATATATATATATATAGCTATTGACATGCGCTCCCTTTAGATTTTTATAAATTTTAGATTTTATGTTTCCGAGTTATGGGGTTTTATTCATTAAAAAAAGGGGATTTTCCAGTTTTCGGACAATAACTCAAAAATGCTTTTAGCAGTTTTCATTAAACTTTGTCGACTGATTTATATCTATTTAGATACCTCCGATTATTTTTTTTATAAATTTCTGATATGACATTGAGAAGTTATTGAACTTTATTTTTTGAAAACGCGACAGGCGTATCATGCACTCATGGCACAGCTGTTTATTTATATACTTCTTGATTTCAACATGTTCAATATCTGTTGAATATTGAAGTGAGCTAGGCATCTGATGTCTGTTGAGTAGACAAGTACAATGAACACATGCATATAGGTTAAAAAAAACTGCATACAGTTGTTTATCTTAATTTACTGCTGAGGGGTCCCCACTGTATAGCTTTCTACTAATTTAAATCTCACTCAAAAACAGAACCAGATAATCTACGTTCATTTTCAAATTTCCTACCCACCATGACATGCTATGAGACAGGTATACAGTAACCCAGTTGATGAATATAACCTGGGTAAAAATAGTACACACAGGAATATGTACAAAATTGTCAACTAAATTTGGTGAATCTTTTAATGACATGTGAAACAAGAAGGTGTGGATCAATAGCTATGAGACAACAACCCAACAACACAAATATTTAATAATAAAAAATCATCTAGAGATCAATAATACAGTCTTGAATAATGAAGAGACAGTTGTTCTTTCATGTAATTAATGCAGATGACAGTTTGTCTAGCATGTCCAGTCAGTGACCAGCTGCATTTAATATTACAAACCATTTTAAATTTAAGCCAGAAATCATTTATCCACATTTGAGTCCTGTATTCAGTTTTTAAGAGCTACTTGACCTGCTGTTATTGTAAATATTTCTTCAATTGATCGAAGAAAAAGAAAAAGAGGTTTATCTCTTGGAAGTGTTTAAATGTTGACATTTTGACATGTTCAAGTATTGACAGCACCACATGTGGGGTCTATTAATACAACACAGTGGACATTGTTAAAACAACACGCTTGTACCAGGACCACTAAATACCCTAATCATTTGTCACCCGAAAAAGTGTGGTAGATATACGAAGAAGATAAAATTATAGAAGCTCCATTTAAAAGGTACTAATTGTTGAATTTTGGTTAAATATATGTTTGAAACGGAAGGATATTATTTCTTATAGCATTTACAACATATATCAATGTCTATTAAGAAATGTGGACAAGATGCTTGTATTGGGCCATGAATGATTCGTACATAAAGAAAAACAGATATCAACGTTAACAGTATTGGACAGAAGAAGGCAGACCACACCAATCAGACTACAAATATAGACTTCCAAATTAAACCAAGACCAACAATTAACCAACACATGGTCAAGATAGCCCGACTTGGTGCAGGCACAAAATGCTGTAGGAATGAACCAGTTGTACCTGTGCACCCCACCCCTTCCGTCCATTTGCCTATCTTGATTTTTTAAAAGTAAAACATTTAATGAAAAACCTGTATAGTGAAATTTAGATTCTCTCTTTTAAACCAAAAGTTTTTACCTTCATTCAACCTATAAAAAAATTGAATTTATAATTTATATGTAATGAATTAATTACAGAAGTCAGAAAAATAACACTATCTTTGGACTTGGAAATATTATAAAAGTAGTCTACCAAAATTGTTATTCATGCAGTTCTTGTTCCAATATAGACCGAGGAGTCAAAATGTCAAAAAAGTTTGATCCCTACAAAACATGGCCACAAATAATGAAAATATAGAAAAAACATTTATGGGAGATAAATAATCTGAACCTATATCTTAAAGATAAGTGAAAATGCCAAAAAAAAAAAGAAGGTTTTTTACACAATGTTATGGATACTCTAATTCTTAATCTCCTTAAAGTTTTGAATTGTCCAATGTTGAAATTAATATCTTTACAATGAATTAGTACATGCTTTTAAATTCAACAATTGTAAACCATCAATCACTGGTTTGAAGCTTTGTTATTAAAAAATTAAAGCTCACTCATGGGTTTCAAATTTAGTTCAATTTAATGGGGTATACTATATATGTTTACGGTAGGTCGTACCTGTCAACTCAACCATTTTGTGTAAGTGGTCCGCCCCAATAAACCCATCCGTTATTTCATATTGACCGTCTTTGTTGGTAATAGCTCAAATATTACGTTGATAAACATCAAAATTGCTGGACGGACAAAAACTTGGAGATTAAAGTGACGATTAAATAATTTGTTTTGTAAAAAGCTTGCAGGAGATCAGGCTTGTTAGGTCGATAAATTTTGGATTTTTAACTGGGTTCGTGGACAGAGGATTAAGACATCAGCTAGCCTATGAATCTTTTAAGAGATAATACATGTTTTGTCGGATTTAAGAGCCCAGCGTGTAACAGGTTCTTATGAGATTTTGTGAATAAATCTATATACTTCAATTTAAAACTGTTGATATGACTTGACTTGTCCATACGTAGGTGAATTTCATATGTGAAAGTTTTTAATAAATGTTTTCATAGATATTGTAACATGAATCTTTCATTTGGATTATGGATTTTAGTGCTTTATACATGAATGGATATTAAAATGGGAAGAAAAAGATCAGTTGCAGGTATAAAAAGTTATATAAGATCTAAGGTTACTTTTGTACATTAACATTGAATTACATACGGTAGTTGATAGTGTGCAATTGTTGACAAAAAAAAATCTAGGTTATATTTGCATGAAGACTAAATAATGTTTTCAAAATGAGTATAATATTCTTTAAAAAGGGTATTTATGTTCTCTTTTTTTATTTCTTTTCTGAAACAGAAAAAAAACATTTAAAAATGTCTACATTGCATTTTTGCATGAAACAGGCACTTATTAATCCAAAATTCTAAAAAAAATTGCATTAAAATTTGACAGTTTGAACATTTTTCCATAATGCTTTTCTTGGATGCCTTATTAGTTCCAATCAGTTGATTTCAGGTGTTCTAAATACATCATTCAAATTTAACTACATCAGTTTTTAATGCATCAACATGATTTTTTTTTTCATTTTTTAAAGAGTCTACAGATATTTTTTTGTCATGATTGTGTATTATACATACATGTATCATAGATGCATTTTTTTTGCCTATATACAATCTGCCAATAAATCATGAAAGAATCTAGACATTTTGAAACCTTAAAAGACAAACTGTTCAATAAATAATACCCGATTACTAGCCATCATTACCCTTTTTTATGGTGCATGTAAACAGTAAACTGTTTACCCTAAGACCATACAGTTATGTTAGTACATGTATGGGTGTAAAAGCCTTGTATGCAAATTTTGGTGAAGTAAACAATTTTTATGTGTACATGTCTTCTCAGATACCTGAAAATTAAATCCGTTTCAAGGGTTAAATCAAGACATGGTCAACTTAGTTGTACATTATGGATCTCTTTTCAAGCTTATAGACAATGTATTCAATGAAGTGTTATTGGAGCTAAGTGTACACTACTTCCAAGTACCAACATGATTAAAATGCACCTATAACTATCAAATAAAATTATTAGATAAGGAAAATAACATTAACCTTGATGATTATTTCTTTTTTTTAAATTGTAAACATCGATGTAATCTTAGTTATAAATGTTATGTAGACATTTAAGGTTAAATTTATAAGTTACAGTTAAAAATGTTGTGGATTGAATAAAAAGAATTCTTGATCCAATTTTGGGACACTTGATCATCTGTTTGGACAGAATTCAAATAGAACATCTTTGTTTTAGCAGATTGTGTCTTTTTTGTAAATTTGACAAAGAATTTCATTTTATAATGTCAGAATGTATGTGACAACATGACCAATCGAAATTTTTGAAAAATCATTGACTATTAATTTTATGAACATGACATTTAATAAAACATCTATGTAAATTTTGACTCTCCCATAACAATTTTTGGTGGCATTGTTATGCTACCCAACACAACCAGGGTGGACAAGAGATATTTTATCACTGTTAGTGGTCCTCAGATACCATAGATAATTGTGTTATTTCTTATCATATAAGAGTGAGGAAAGCAAATATATTATGACAAATATCCATCATGTTTTAATATTCAACTTTTCAATTAATATGTCTGAAATGTGATAAATCTAGAATCCTTGTACATTCCTTATTGAAATAAGTCCAGGGTTTGCTATGTAAAATTTCATTATTAAATAAACTTACTATCGTTCTACAGATTAGTAGTATTGACCTGAAATCACATTTTAGATTTATGCAGCATACATAAATTTTTTTTCTGGTATTCAATAATGTCGGATGAATTTTATTAGTGACTTTTCTGTTGATAATTTTTTCCACATCATTTATCGTTCAAATAAGGTTTAGGGATTAAATTGAAAGAGTTTACTCAAAGCCAGGATGGGGACTAATAAATATATCTACATGTACATGTAGTCATGTATAAAAGAATTTCAAATTTTGGGAACAACATAAAATGCATAGGTCCAAATATTCATAAACCCTCTAGGAAATATACTGGTCTGTTTGACATATTTATCTCAATTTAATAAAAGTACAGCAATTCCTTAGAATTGTTAAAGTATAGCCTTGTACTTTTTCATTGCAAATTGATTTATGATGGAACATTACAAAAACATTTAAATTGGAGGAATTGAAAGGAAAATAATTATAGGCCTCAAATTGGGCATTATGAATGTGATTTTTGTATGGTGTCAGGTTACTGTCTGAGGTAATTTGGATGAGCAAGTTTGTGTGACTAAATTATGTTGTAATATACACATGTATAGAGGGTATTTACACAATCTTATGTAATTTAGCCCTTTTATCATCCTTCAATATTTTTTGTTCTCTTGTCTTTGTGAGGTCTTGGCAACTGGAAATACACTGAATACATTAGAAGATTTAAGAGGAAAATCTCGGTGATTCATAAAATAAAATATGTAAAGTTAGATAAGTCTGATTTGGATCATTTGACAAATGGAATAATAGAAAATTCAAAACATTAAACATTTAAACAAAAGGATGATTTTATTATTCATTTCCATCTGGATGTTTACTTAATCAATAAAATTGAGATTGGAAACTGGGAATGTGCTAAAGAGACAACAACCCGACCAAAGAGCAGAAAACAGCCTAAGGCCACCAATGGGTCTTCAACACAGCCAGAAAATCCCGCACCTGGAGGCACGCTTCAGCTGGCCCCTAAACAAAAATGTTTACTAGTTCATAGAAAATGGACGTCAACTTGGTAAAAACATGTTATGTTTTCTTATCCCAATTATTTTTCAGTTAAAAATATTAGCTCTGCATTTTTATGCATTTTGGATTATCAATATTTATTGACAAACATGAATCTTAAAATGATAATTTTCAGATTTTCCGTTTGGTAATACCAATTGTGACCAATTTTGTAGCTAAACACTTTTTTTTCTAATTTTCTATTTTTCAAATCTGACAACTGAATTTTCTGTTACATTAAGTTTAATCTTGGAGGCTTTTTGGTAACTCTAGAATAGCCACAATATGGCTATAATTATTATGTTGCTCAATTTGGGTAAAGAATATACAAAAACATAAAAATAATTCTCTAACTAAGAATAAATAAGCAGTCTTGAGTATGGCATCCAGGATTATAATTTTCTCTATCCAAATCTAACCATTTTTTTTCGATGACCTAATTTGCATAATCAGCTCTATTTAAGTTAAAAGTGAGGGCAGAAAATGTCCCTTAGCATTTGCATATTGTTGCATTGATTTTCAGTTCTAAACATTTAAACACAGACATTGCAGTGCCTACATGCTGTGAATATCAATGTTTTAATGATGAAAATTGATGCAAGTGTGGTGATTCTTGAGTTATGTTAATCGATTTCAGATGTCAACTCAATGTGAAATCTAGACATTTATGTATTTTTTACAAAGATGTGGCATTAAGCATTATAAAACTTGTAATATACTTAACCTGGGTTAAAAGTAATCAACTGGAATCTCATTAGATATTTTATATCTGAATGTTTTTTTTTTTGTTATTTGGAGTCTGTTTTGTCTTGATAGATCTGTTTTATATAAATATACTTTTTTAACGTTAACAATGTTTGATAGACTTTTGTTGTCAAATAAGTTACCTTAAGTAAATCTCAAACTGCACTGATCATTGACCTGTCATTAGCTGAGGCTCTTCACACTAAAAATCATATGGTTAAACTCTATAATAATACATACAATACACACAATGTGATTCAGTAAAACAATTCATGCTGGTTATTGAATATGATTTACGATTTCAGTTTGAACCCCAACAATTACCCTGTACCTTGTCTGTTCAGAAACAAGTTTAACTATATAGTTCACTTAGTTGTGGATTTCATTGGGAGAATTTTTTATGAAATTTGCTTATCATGGTCACAGGTCCAATTTATTTCTGCTATAAAGTATAATAGTGTTAATAGTAATACTAAATGCCGATAGATCTATCCAATATAACAATAATATAGGACTCGTATTATTGGATGGCCTCGGATTTTATCTGTAAATTCTGAATGATTAGAACTTATATAGTATTGAAGGGTTTCAATAACCTTAGATTTTATCATCGTAATAAATTTGATGTTGGAATTAATTTGTCGTTCCACACTTTGTTAGTATATATAAAATATTGGACATTTGCCTGCTTCTGTATGAATTAAATATGCTGGTATCAGGACTATACCTGGTTATGAACAGTTTATAAGTCTTTGTAAGACTTTTGTAAGTGGACGTTTAAGGTTAAGTATTTTCCAATGTAAATAAGGTGATATTATGAAAAGGCTTTCAGAAATATCCAAATTGCCAATTTTAGAAGACCAGGATTAATAATTGTTTGTTTAGCATCCTGTGGCAAATGAGAAGACAAGGGCATATTTAACATTTGTACCAAGTGAATTTTACACGTATGCTTCAAGGGTTGTGCTGAAATATAAAAATTTGTCCAAGGACATTGAGTACTATATATATATATATACAAAAATCTACTTCTCAGAAATACTTTTAAACTTGTCGGACCTTAACCGGTTGTGCTATTACAGAAACTACATGTCTGAGGTAGTTGGAACATTTTCACTTGTTTAAGAGATTTTGGAACAACCAGACAAGTCAAATGTGGTATTTCCACATCACTGGTTTCTGACATGTTAAAGAGTGAGAACCGTTTTGGGTTCTCTTCTGCAGATCAAAAATATTTTAAAAAGAATTCTCATTCCGTTTCAAAAATTTTGCCTTCAAGGAGACCTGTTGCAGAAAATGGCTTTGATTCATTTAAGAATCTTATATACAGAAAGAATTTGTTATGTGTAAGTTTTGGTTCAAGAGTAGATAGCACTTTGGGTTGTGAGGAATATAAATATAATAGAAAAATGTAAGTTTGCAGAACATATACACCAAAATATTAAGAATACAAAGTCTGTTCATAAAGATCTTCAGAATATTATGTATATTGTATACCAGTATATCATATTTATTGAATACCAATTTAAGTATCTTTTTATATAGACCAGGTAATGAATTCTTTTGGCTTTATATTTTAGTCTACTCATTTACATTAGTGCATACATATTAAGGTACTGGATCATGTATATG